ACTGCCAGGAAGGGAGAAATTGGGCTCTCTGCCTTAGATACCAGGCTTGATTTGGGGGGGGTGGGGGAAGCTAGATTATTTTTTTTTTATTATTATTATTATTATTATATGATGATGATTCCTGGGTGCGATTCTGCTCGTCCTTGTGCTGATCTGGAGGAGGGGTTTTCCCCGGGTGGCACGGCCCAAACACACCGCGGCATCCGCCCGGAGAGGCTCTCGCCAGCGCCCGGGCGCAAGATCTCCTGCCTCCCCTGGTTTTCTTCAAGCCCGACTACTGTAGCTGCCGCTTTCATTGCCATTTCATTTTAGGGGGGGACAACCCCTCCTGGAAGTGGTGTGGGGGTGGGAGAACCTGTCTTTGGATACATGACCTCAAATAAAGAGATGATTTATTTTACGGACATCCCATCTCCAGCTTTCTCTGAGCTCCCACCCCTCGTCTAGTTTAATTCCTCTCCCTCTTCTTGCCCTGGAAACTCCTTTTTGCAGCCCAAAAGTGGGTTTAAAGCCACTTCTGCAATGAGGTGTCACATTTGGTGTGGTTCAAATTTGGGTTGGGTTGTCCCTGTGCCGAGGCAGAGGCTTCGCTGCTGTCCCTCACCGTGTTCCATTCTGTGCTGATAAAACAAATAAGTGATTATTTGGAGACCGTTTTACCCATGAAATCTCGTGTTTTCCTTAGAGATAAGAGCAGAAATGCAGCAGGTGCTTTTTTTCTTTTGGTTTTTTTTTGCCTGGGTGAACCGATAATCACCGCTATCACAAATGCTGTTTTCCAGCGACTGCTCCAGCAGTGGAGCGAAAACCTCGATGCCACAGATTCACCCCCCAGAACGGCCTCAATTTCTTTTTGAAGGGGGAAAAAATAAAACTCTTTTGGCCAGAAATCAGGTTTTTATTACAAACCATCTTGGTGTTTCATTTAACCTCAAAATAATGCCCCGTGGAGGTCGTGCCCGGTCCCTGCTCCAGTGCTGGCTGTATTGGGTGGGGTGGGATTTTTTGGAGGGGGTGAAGGTCTTGCCCTGCATTTGCCTCAATTTCCCCATCCCAGGGGCGATGCAAGCACCGTTCATGTGTTGGATAAAACTCTTGGAGGCATCCCGGGGATAAACACAATGTGAGAGCCATGGCTGGGGCATCCGTGGGGCTTGAGACCAGGAGAAACTCATGACAACGTCGCCCGAGATGTGCAGAAGAGGAAGATGCAAGAGCAGGGTATTGTCTCCCCAGGGATTTGGGCTGCCTGTCCAAAGCCGAGGGAGACTTGGAGTGCACCCAGGGTTTTTGGGCCCCGACCTTCGGGGCCGTGTGTGTTTTGGAAGAGGGACCAAGGCTGCTCGATAGAGCCGTGTCACCTGGTTTTCCTCCCTTCCCTCCTTCCCCGTCCCCTTTAAAGCTGCCGGCAGCGAGCCCCCGCCCGCAGAACAAGGACCGCCGGC